GGGGGGGGGGGGGGCAACAAACACACTGTCACTACCCTGTGGAGAGGTGGTCACTGGGGGCTCCCTAAGACCACAGACTGGCCCCTCTCCACAGCTGGAAGAATTTTTCTTGACACCAGGCTGCAGTCCCCTAAATCTACCCTGCCTGAGCCCATTTCTCCTCACGGGCACAGAACAGCTGTGAAAGAAAAACCACACTGCTTTTCCAGTTCAGGTTTACCCCCACCCCACCCTGTCCCTAATGTGGTGGCACAGCACCCAGCCTGGGGTCCTTGGCTTCCCTTCCAGGCCTTCTGTTCAGGCTCTGCTGCTGATGGGTCAGCCGCCTGGGACCAGGGCTGGGAGGGAGTCAGATTTGGGAAAGCCACATATCAGGGAAGGAGGGAGGTTTGGGGTCCAGATAATAATACATACCTTAATTGTGGGCATTCGCAGATTACTCTGCAATCAAAAAAATCTTTTATAACATTTATTATCTAATCCTCTGCTAGCCCACAGAGATAGGAACTAACCCATCCTGTAGCCAAAGAAACCGAGGCCTAGTGACTCCCCTGAGATTGAAGGGCTTTGGCTTCAAGTCCAGGGCTCCTTCCACCTCTGTTGACTGGAGTCTTTGGGGCTTGGGTTTTGGGAGGCCTGGACTGATGAAGCAGCCTCTGGGGCAAGAGGGAAGCAAGGAGGCCTCAGGGACATGTCCCAGGTGAAGATGGGACCATCCCAAAGGTGGCCCAGCCCGTGTCCAGCTGCAGGGCCTAGCTAGGGGGAGGAATGAGGGATCTGTGCATCCAGCATCTCCTTCCCCACCTTTCTGACTTCCTACACCCTCCACTCCTTAGAATGATGCTTTACTTCAAACAGTGCAGCCCAGGCCACCAGAAGCCAGGGGGACCTCCTTGCATCCACTCAGGCTCTGTCCAGATACCCCTGCTAGGGTGCCACTGGCCTCCAGCTCAGGTGTGTCTCAGGGTCATCTCATCCAGCCCCCTGACTTCAAACCCAACTGCCCACACTTGGCCCAAACAGAGGGGGATGCTTTCCTCAGTTCACCAACAGCAATGCTGGTCATTATTGAGTGTTTACTGGACACCAGGTGCTGCTAAGCCCCTCGCTTGTTAATATCATCTACTCTTCATACCGTACTATGAGGCAGGTGCTATTACCCCCATTTAACAGATGGGGAAAGCGAACCCCAGAGAGGTTAAGAGACCTGCAAAGGGCACCCTGCAGTGGCATGGCTGGATGGGAATCCAGGGTGACCTCACCCGGCCCCCATGGTGTTCAACCCCTAGCAGCAGGAGCTGTTTGCAAGGTTGCCCTCCCTGCCCCACTGCCTCCTCCAATACCCTTCCCAGGGAAATCCTTCCATTTCCCCAGTCTGTGGATGAATTCTTCAGAAATGAGCTAGCTGTAGGAATTAGGGCCTGCAGAGCACAGGCCTCAGGTGAACCACTCCTGGAACCCAGCCTCCAGCCCCAGGAGGCCAACCTCCCAGGTGCACCAGCCCTGTCCCAGCTCCACCTTGAAGCACCATCTCCTACCCCTGCCCCAGCCCACCAACCCCTGGACCCTGCAGGTCCTGCTGCAGCTCAGAATTAAGAGAGGCCTGGGCCATGCATATTTTGCAAAGCTTTCAGTGTGCTCGAAACCCCAATGGGATCGTCATTTGGAGATAGAGGCTACCCTTGGCCACCAGACCACAACCCCGCCCCCTTCTGACACTCCAAGGGGTCCTGGACAGACTCTGCTGCCCAGCCTCATTGCCCACTGGGCCAAGGCAGGTGTGGAGGCCTCAGTGCACCTACAGAAGTTGGGGGAGCATGGCAGGCAACCAGTTGGGGACAGAGGGGCTTGGAGGCAGGCTGGCCAGGTGTCCCTGCCTCTCTGGCCTTCATTACCAGGGAACTGGGGCGGGGGCAGGTGGTGATCCAGTCCCTTCTCAGGTCTGGACCATCTCAGAACATGCAGCTGGGGAGGTGCTGGGCCAGGAAGCGAGAGCAGGTAAGTGGGCCAGATGAGCTGGGCCCCTTCCCCACCCTTTCTGAGTGGCCACACTGGGCTGAGACCAGTACCCTGAGTGGATGAAGATAAATACACCAGGTGCCACCTAGGTCCAAACAAAAGGCAGAGGCTTTGCCCCTGGCCTGCCCTGGGCATCAGCCCTGAGAGCCCAGGCCATAGCTGAGGGTGCCGAGGGGAGGGGGGAAAGCTGCAGATTCAGGGGCATGACATCGAGAAAAGGGGTCGAATCTGGGGGGGGGAGGATAGGGGAACTAGAGAAGCACTGATTGAACAGACCCCTGAAAGCCTTAAGTGAGTCGGATCCCAGGAAGAGCCTCGGAGCGAATGAGCTTTCAGAAAACTCTCTGAGCCTGGGGCACCAGGAGCCTGTGGGCAGCTCAG